ATGGTTTAAAGCATAATCTTATGTCTATCATCCAAATGTGTGCTAAAGGGTGTCGTGTAATTTTTGAACCTAGCTGTTGCTATGTTGAAAACATAAAAAAAACAACATATTTTGTTCACAAGGAAACGTAATGGGAAGATCTACACAATAGATTTAAATGATAAGGATAGTTTTAATGAAACCTGTCTTGTGAGTCTTGATAAGAGTGAACAGGAGGAACACAAGCGTCTTGGTCACGTAAACGTAAGCACTATGTTGAAACTTGTTCGTCTTGAACTAGTCAAGGGTATCCCTCAAATCAACGTGAAAAGAGATTTCTTTTGTGATGCTTGGCTAAAGGGAAGCTTACCAGGTCTAGTTTTAAGAATAAATCTGTCATTTCCATGACCAGATCCTTCGAACTACTTCATCTAGATCTTTTTGGGTCAACCAATGTAGTGAGCTATGGAGGGAATTCGTATGCTTTTTTGATTGTCGCTGATTTCTCAAGGTTCATCTGAGTACTTTTTTTGGCTAAAAAGGATGAAGCGTTTCAGAATTTTAAAAATATCGTCAAACTCATTGAGAATGAGAAATTGTATAAAGTTTGTAGCATTCGAAGTGACCATGGAGGATAATTCAGTTCTGATCCTTTTAAGCATTTTTGTAATGAACTAGGAATATCTCACAACTTTTCTGACCCCGGAACTCCTCAATAGAATGGAGTAGTCGAAAGAAGAAGAAAAAATAGGACCCTCATTGATATTGCCTGAACTATGTTGCATGATTATGGGATTCCTAAGTATTTTTGGGTTGAAGCTATAAACACTTCTTGTTATATTTTAAACCATGACTTAATCAGATTTGGAATTAACAAGACTCCTTATGAAATCTGGATGGGAAGAAAACCAAATATTGGTTACTTTCATCCTTTTGGATGCAAATGCTCTATGCTCAATACGAAGGATAATCTCGGAAAAGTTGACTCGCAATCGGATGAGTCTGTCTTTCTAGGATACTCTTCTACTAGTAAGGCATATAGGGTGTTTAACAAACGGACCCTTAAGGTTGATGAGTCCGCCAACGTGATATTTGATGAATCTATTATTGAAGCTACAAATGACATGGATGATGATGATTTTGGACTCGGAAGGAGTTCACCTACAAGTGTTAACAATGACACTGGAAGGAATCAGACAGGAGGATCACTCCATGAAGACATGAGCAAGTTAACAGTTGGAAATGAGCATAACGAGAAGGTCACTGAAGATGTAATTGAAGGAAGGGTTGAAGCAACTGGATCACAACCGCCACCTCACATCAACAAGAGGCATGCTCTGTCTCAAGTTATTGGACCTATTGATCAAGGTATGATCACTCGGTCTAAAGCTATTCCATCTTTTACTGCCTTCGTATCCTTGATTGAACCTAGGAATGTTCAAGAAGTTATTTTAGATGAATTCTAGAGAGCTGTTATGTTTAATGAAATGCACTAATTCGAACGAGCAAATGTGTGGGAGTTAGTTCCCAGAATAGAGAATAGAGTGATCATAGGTACAAAATGGATTTATAAAAACAAATCGGATGAAAGAGGAATTATAATCAGGAATAAAGCTAGCTTAGTTGCTCATGGGTGCTGTCATGAGGAAGGTATAGACTTTGATGAAACTTTTGCTACTGTGGCTCGTTTAGAAGATATACGAATGCTATGTGCTTTCGCCAGCTCAAAACGGTTTAAACTCTATTAAATGGATGTATAAAGTTCCTTCTTAAACGGGGATTTCAAAGAAGAAGTCTATGTATCTCAACCCCTTGGGTTTGAAGATCATAGGTTCTCTAATCATGTGTACAAATTAAAAAAAGGGCTTTATATGGGTTATAACAGGCTCTCATGGCATGGTATGAAAAACTTAGCTCCTTTTTGCTGGAAAATGGTTTTCAAAGGGGTGTAGTTGACAAGACTCTCTTCATTAAACAAAATCTGGAACATATTATGCTAGTTCAGGTGTACGTCGATGATATAATCTTTGGTGCTACTTGTGACAGCATGTGTAAGGATTTTGAAACCAAAATGAAGGGGGCTTTCGAAATGAGTCTAATGGGAGAATTAAGTTTCTTTTTAGGCCTTCAGATAAAACAAAATTCTCCGGATCCGGAGTTCCTCCATTCCTGATCATCTACCCCAAATAGCCTATGAAAACTCGGACTATTAAACGTCGTCCATATGATAAAATGGATAACCGGTATGTTAGTCGATAAACTAGTAAGTTTGTTAACCGGCCACTTTGTATCGGTTGTCGGCAACTATTTAAGATGTCTTGGTATATCGTTAACTAGGGATGAAAGTTTGGTATTGGTATTTGGGACGTACCGAATATCGTACTGAATTTATCACTATTGGGTATCACATAATATCGTTTTATTTTTTAGGATTGTGATTCATTTTGGAGTACTATTCGGTACTCGAGATTACAAGATTGGGATCGCTATTACCTAAATGCCGAGAAATACAAAAAATTAAAATTAATGAATATAGCACACAACATTCACAACATTTGGTCATTTCTCACTCTTTGACAACTCACAAGCCCCCACACAACCCAATTTTGGATTTCCATTTTAAGTCGCTCTCGTTTCTCACTCAAACTCTTGTTATTTTCATAACACTAAAAAACATATGCACTTTTATTAGTTGTCTCTTAGCCACCAATCCTTTGAATTAAAGATTACCAATGACAAGAAATTGAGATGTCACCATCTCGTCCCTTCTCCTTATCAATGTCCTAGCACTAGACGAACTCAAGACCTTTTGCCTAGTCTCTTTGCCCTATATTAGATTACCAACTCTAATTTATATATTTAATTATTAATTTTAGGTGTAATTAATTTTATATTTGATAATATCGATTGGGACAACAAAATATTTAGGGATTGAGATACCAAATTTATTTAGGATTGAGATTGAGATTGATTTTAGTGTGTACTTCGGTATTTGAGATTTCGATATTTGATATCAAGATTCCGATACTGTATCGATTTCCACTCCTATTGTTAACCGGTTAGGCGGTTACCAGTGAAACCTGTTACCCACCGATTGTCAGCCTTACTATGATTGTATAAGTGATGAGATAAGATGATAATTATAACGCTAAACATTGAAACAATTATTCTCAACATCAACTTGTTGGTTTTTGCAGATTTAACAGAACTTGTTTACAATTTAAATTTCTTGATTAAAATTTGTGCGTCACATTACTGTTATATGGTTAACCGATAAAATAATTGATAACTATCATCATTTAATTTCTCACAAAACCAATAACTGACCAAACGATTACGGGTATAACCGAGTAGAATCGACTATTAACCCTAGTTATAGAGCGAGCTTTATAATTTGGAATCCCTACCGTCTTTGGTAAGAAGGCTTTGTTTTGAGTGTAAGCTGTCATGGGCTTGCTCCATCTAAGGCTGGTCCCAAGCTGTGTCTTAGGCTGGCTGGATAGCGTGGTGAGGTAGACTCCGGCGCCGTGGTAGTGGACGAAGACGGGGAGCTTCTATTCTATCTCCTTATATAATTGGGCATTAACGCCGGTGGCTTCCGAGATCTGGAAATTGGAGTAAATGGGTATTAAGTGCCATGTTTACCCGCCATAATCAGACAGTCACAGCTACCACTGCCACCTCGGATTTCTCCTACCCAATGGTAAAGTGACACGCTGGAAGGGACACGGTTGGGGTCTTGGGGAGTCCCATTTTAGCTATACATACATACATACATATTTCAGTCCATTTATTTCCTTACTTTCACACTCGATAGGGTAAAATGTGCAATTCAATCATTCATTCCAACGCTAGTAGATACGCCTTACCAAATAGCGGTCATGCTATGCTACCACCATCCAATCTAGGGCTGGAAGTTTGGTACCGATATTTGGGATATACCGAATACCGTACCGAATTTGTCTATATTTGGTATTACCGAATACACGTAGTATTTTGTGGGATTGGGATTGGGATTGAGTTTCAATTGTTATTCGGTATTAGGGATTACGGGATTGGGATCGGTATATACCGAAATACCGATCAATACCGAAATATAAGCTAGTGTGTATTTTATTCTCTCAACTAAACTCTCTCATTCACTTCTACGCGACCCTCAACCACTAAAAGTGTCATTTAATTATACATAGATCATTACATCACTATTTCACACTAGTATTAGTCGTCTCCCAATCTCAAATTCATCAAATTAAAGATTACCAATTACAAAAACTTGAGATGTTAGCTCTAGGCAACTTAAGACTCTTTGCTTAGTCTCTTTGCCCTAAATAAAACAATAAAATCTAATTTATATATTTAATTATTAATGGCAAACGTAATTAATTTTTTATTTGATAATACCAATTGGGATACCGAGGTACTGATTGGAATACCGAAATTATTTAGGGATTGGGATTGGGATACCGAAATTATTTAGGGATTGGGATTGTGATTGATTTCATGGTGTAATTCGGTATTCGGCATTTCGGTATTTGGTATTAGGATACCGATACCGTACCGATTTCCACCCCTAATCCAATCCATCCATAACATCAACTACCCAACTAACTTACTTAATTAACCCCACAGGCCGGCCGGCTTCAGTCTCCCTCAAATCCAAACACTTCAATTTCTCATAGCCTGCTGCCTCCATCTGAACACGAATATGTCATAAGCAACCCGGTAATCGACATAACACTAGCTAATACGTAAAAGGATCAATGCCGACTACACACAAACATTTCTAACGACTCGAGCTATTGAAACCAAACACACACGACCATAGGGAACCATAGAGAATTCACTCTTTTCATTGTATAACGTCGAATATATTAATACACACGGGAACCATGAAAATTCAACACTACTAGTTCTTCCAAAATTACAAACGGTCTGGGAAAACTGAGCAATTAATTGTCACACATCATATAAACTGTAAAAAAAAAAAAAACAGCGAGAACACCCCCAAAACACGCGGATTTTCAATTACCTTGCTTCACGAAATCGATGACGGTTTTGATGAGCGGAGCGATGTTCTCGCTCTTGGGGCTGAAAAAATGGAAGCAATGGTCTTCCCCTTTGGTCTCGAAAAAATCAACCGCCCCTTTCCACTCGCTCTTCTTCATCGTTTCCGCGTAGCTCACGCCCCTTCCCCTCAGCCCATCCTTCTCCGCCACGCAAACCAAAATCCTCCCAACCTTCAGCTTCGCCAAATCCGGGTCGCCAGCCGGGTGCACCCTCGGGTCGTCCTTCGCGCCCGAGCTCGTCGGGCACATGTACTGGTAAAACCGGTCGGGCTGATCGGTCCCGAAATACGGGTGGACCAGAACCATCCGGGTCAGATTCAAACCCGCGACCCCTTTCGCCCCGGCCTGGACGGCGACGTAGTGGGCCAGATTTGCGCCCGCGCTCTCCCCGGCCAGGACCACGTTCCCCAGATCCGCGTGCTGGTTCAGCCAGGGTTCGGGTCCGCGGCCGTCGGCGTGCCGGGCGAGCCACTGGAGCCCGGCCCAGCAGTCGTCGTAGGCGGTGGGCAGCTTGTGCTCGGGAGCGAGGCGGTAGTCGACGGAGATGGCGATGACGCCGGACTGGGTGGCGAGGGTGGAGAGGAAGATCTTGAAAGGGGTGGCGAAAGGGGATCCGATGCAGAAGCCGCCGCCGTGGTAGTGGAGGAGGATGGGGAGCTTCTTGCCGGCGGGGACCTTGGGGAGGAAGATTCTGGCCTTGACGCCGGCGGGCTCGGGGGAGATGAGGACGTCCTTGGATTCGACTCCGGTTTCGGGATCGAGGCCAGCGGGGGAGTGGTCGGTGTCCCAGTATCTCTCGACGCGGCCGTCTTGGTAGACCTTGAAGAAGCCTGGGAAATCGTGGGCGATCTGGTCGGAAGCCATCGCCGGGGGAAAACAGAGGGAGAAATTAAAGCAGGGGGATTTGGGAGAAGGGATTATTAAGATATGAATGATTGGGTGGGATTTGATAGCGGGGGTTGGCGTGTATATATATATATATATATATATATGTAATGTAATGTGGCGGAGGGGACGAGGGGAGGAACTGAATCGAAATCAATTGAATTGAATGGGGAGGGGGAGGGGTATAGTTGGGGTAGGTGTCCGCTTCATCGGGGGGAAAAGAAGGAGAGGAGGGGAGAGAGATTTTTTCAATTAATAACTATGGTTGTGTTGTGTAACAATTTTAGTTTCCGATTTGCTTCCTTCTTAAACGAATCTGTTTTCTGCTAGAAGATTGATTACATTAATTAATTAATGTCGGATTTACATCTTATTGTTGTCGCGTTACTGGAAGTTTAATAGATGGAGAATCGTGATACAGGAAACAGAGGCAAGGAAGAGGAGATATGGAGAACCAATTCCTTGTAGATTATGAGATAGCCGCACAATAATATGCTTCATGTTCAATTCCTCGTAGATTATGAGATAGCCGCACAATAATATGCTACATGTTTACAATTTTATGTACATAATAGCATTTTGTACGCTTCTACTATGGTAAATTAACAAAAGTACTTCTCTACAAATTTTTTGCACAAACATACGCATCTAATATTAAAACGTAACGGATTTACTTTTCAATCCAATTATATGTTAAGTGACCGTTAAGTGAGCTATAAAATGACCAAATTACCCCTTATTTACTCCTAAATGCTCTAAATTTTGATTTTAATTATTTAGATCTCAGATCACATAATTAAAAAAAATCAAACTCATAAATGAAATCACACATACGCCACCAAAAACTGTCTGTCTCTCTCGGTGAGAGGCCCCTCGACTTGGTGGCTGCGCTTACTCCCGGCATCTCCCCGCTGACAGCTGGATTATAGAGAATCGGTCGGCTTAAATTGACACGCTTTGACCAAAGGAAATATGAAGGGACGGCTAGGCTTGGCAACGGGCCCGATCCGGGCTGGGGAGGGCCTATCCACCACCCGCCCGAAAGCCAATCGGGCTTTCCCCGAATCCACCCCACTAGCCCTGTCGGGCTCATTTTTAGACCCCAACCCCGAATCCATTGGGTAATGGGCTACAATCGGGGTTAACGGGTTTACCCGCTACCACTGTTAGCCTGGAAAAAACAAAAACAAAAAACAAAAAACAAACAAAATACAAAGAATGCAGCATTGGAATTACTTAGAGAAAAATCAAATGGCATGACTCCAATTCCAATTTCCATAATCCAAACTGTCTAAACAAATAAAAAAAGGATCAAGACATCCAAATGATGCATAGTTGCATACAATTCCATCTCCAAATTCGAATATCCAATCGAAACAAACAAGTTCATAAACTTCAATCCAAGCAATGAAACAAAGTAGCAAACTGCCAGTCCAAGAGTGCACTATCTTGAAAATCTGTGAAATCATACAAATTATCAGCAGACAGCATCAGTCACCATCTTGAAATTACTTAGCTAATTTTTCAGTATTCACTAACCTCCTTTCTTAAAGTATTCACAACTTGGATCCTCCATTGTCAACGCAGCGAAGCAGCTTTCCAATCCGTTAATCCCATCCTTTCCCGCATCTGAAGACAAAAGAAATGAGAATTGAGTTAGTTAATTTCACAATGTAGTTGAACCACAAACAGAGCTGGAAACAATTAAATAAATCCCTTACCTTTTCTAATATAATCCTTAATCCAGGTATGAGTGCACACGATTGCCTCAACAACTTCAAAGTGTAGTATACTCCGGTGAGGATCTAGCAGCCTACCACCAGAGCCGAAGGTTGACTCTGAGGCCACAGAGGTCACTGGTACAACAAGAAAATCTCTTGCTACCTCTTGCAACATAGGGTATCTTCCAGCATTAACCCTCCACCAATCCAAAACACCAACATTAGGAGCTCGAGGACTGACACCCTCGCTCAGATAATAGTCCAATTCAGAGCACAATGAATTTGTTTTGGACCTTTTCCTTCGGCTTAGATAAAGCTCAAACCAAGGTCGCTCAAGGTAGGAACAACAAGACCATTACCAGAATCAGTGGAGGCAGAAAGATCATCCTTAGCCCTCTGTTTCAACTGATACTCATGGACCACATTATAAATAGTGGCCTTAATTGTCTCAGGTTCAAGAGTAGAATCAAGGCTTTGAAACTTTTCATAATAGTACCCAATCAACTCAAGCTTGTATACAGGATCAAGAACAATAACCACAGTAAGCAACACATGAATATCAGTCCAGTATTTGCTAAACTTGATTCGCATTTTTTCAGCCATTACACTAATGATCTCATCAGGACCAAATCTCCACTCATTTAGCTTGAATTTCAAGTCACAGATCTTTGGAAAGAACAAATTAGCAGTAGGATAATTGCTTCCAGAAAACAGATCAGAGAGTTTTTTTTGGAAAACCTCAAGTTTTGTTTGGAGATAACAGTGGCAAACTTCCAATCATCACTGCTAGGCAAGGAAGTATAGTTAGGTTCTCTCTGACTCAAACGAGTGAACACATCTTTGTATGGAATTGCAGATTCAAGCATAGGGAGTGTGGAATGCCACCTATTAGGGCAGTCTAGTGCAAGTTTGGTAGAAATACCAACATCTTTTTGCTTAGCAGTCTGATCAAAGAACTCAACTCTCCTTGGAGTTGCAGTCCAATATACCACACTTTCCCTAATCTTTTCAATACCATCTTTGATAATTTCAAGCCCATCTTTCACAATTTAGTTGAGAATATGAGTAGAGCATCTCATTTGCAGCAATGAACCATTCATTATGAAGTCAGAAAGAACCATCTTTCTCTTAATATCATCCATCATGGCATCATTTGTAGAACAATTGTCAAGAGTGATAGTGGATAACTTACAATCCACATTCCAAGACATGAGTGCCTCTCGAAGCGCACTTGCTAGTTTCTCACTAGTATGAGGAGCAGGAACATAGAGAAACCTGTGATACACAACATCAAACAAGAGGCAAACCAAAATAGTTAGTTAGTGGTTAAACACATAAGCAACAAAACTGAAAGTACAAAAATGAAAGAGTCAAACAGCCATATACCTTAGCAAGTGGCTCCTATGGTTCCACTGATTGTCAACATAATAGGTAGTTACAGCCATGTAAGCCCTCTTCAGATTACCTGCTGTCCACATGTTAGTGGTGACAACAATTCCACCTTTGTTACCATCAATCAATTTTTGCATCTTTTTCCTCTCAATCCCATACATTGCAAGAATATCACTCTTACAAGTGTTTCTACAAGGAACTTTGAACAAGGATTGTAGAGAATTACAGAAGATTTTGAAGTACAAGTGCTCCACCATATCAAGTGGATACTCATGCATCAAAATCATAATGACAAGTTCCTTCCTAGAAACCTCTGCATTAAACTGACTAATACATATTTCTTTCCACCCAAGAACACCAGTTGGAAGGAAATTAGTGGCAATATTTTTCTTAAGGCCATCATGAATATGTTTTTGAATACACACTTTTTTACGATTCCTCAAATGAGAGGTACCATTGCTAGTATCACCACGAAGAACCTTACGACAATACTTGCACCTAGCTTTCATTACACTAGCCTTATCAACAAACCTAGTAAAGTGAGGCCAAATATCGCTTTTTAATGTATGTTTGGACCCAAATGGAAGCGAATAAGGCTCACCATCATTGACTGGTGGATCACCAACAACATTCACTACATTACCATCATTCACAGCAGCTGCTGGTGCGTCACCAACATTCAAAGGTTGCTGCTATTGGGGTTCAGGGTTGATGGGTGGGGTGGGGATTGAGAGTTGGGAGAGTTACTGAATTCAACACCTTTCATTGCCTCATCTGTTCATCAATCAGAAAAAAGCAAACCAATCAAGACTAAGGCTACAGGAAGACTTACGGCTTGTGCTCCTTGCAGTTGCAGTGACTGGAAACAAGGATTGCAGGCAGCTATAAGCTTACTACTTCCCTTGAGAGTGGTTTGCATTCTGGGAATCTGAGATGAAAATTGCCAAAAACAATCAATTATGGTATTTATAAACGCAAGCATGAAGTAGAAAGAGAAGAATAAGATGATGTCGAAGAGAAAGAGTCGATAAAGGGTAAGTGCAGTTGTAATCGCCATCGGGAATGACTTTATTCGAAAAAATTGATGGGGTTTCAACTGATTGATTGGGTATCTGATCTTTTGAGCAATGAATGTAGGGATTATTTGCCGTTTTTCTCTACAATCGAAGAGAAAACTGCGAGATTTGAGGAGAAGAGTAAGGCTCGGGGTTGGAGATTGGATTTTTAGAATGAGAATTGGGATACAGGAGGAGGATTTTTCACGAATGATGTGGGATGGGGAGGGCTAGGGTTCAAGAATTGCGGGTGTCGGGGGCTGCCAGGGCGGATATTACCAACACCATCCTCGCCCGTCAATCGGCTACAGCGGGTTTTGGGTTCCCCGGAACCCGTCAAAAATCCGGTCAAACGAATTTAATCCGACAAGAAATGGATCGGGCCCGGGCGGGTACCCGGAATACGGGCCAAGTTGCCAAGCCTAGGGACGGCTGCTAAGGAAGTCGAGCTAGAAACCGAAAATGAAGGCAATGAAGATAGTGCCAGTGGCACTCTATGTGATATAGATTGGTTGTCCTTGTCTAGTGATACGAATGAACAAGATGTCCTCCAAAGGTATCATTATTTAGACGAGCATTTTTCCCCTCATCGCCCAAACTATTAAGAATGCTGAATCTACTATCTTCTCGTCTATATAGATTCCTCGGGATGACCTTTCTCGATGAAGTCATGAGGTGGTAAGGTGGCTCACTGCTGGCTTATCAAGACGAAAAACATTATGCTGAGCCTGCCGGGAAGCTGGGGAAGTTGAGGGAGAAACAGATGGTGTCGGAGCGACGTGAGAAGAATCGGGGAAGCTGCCAGTCACGA